TCATTACTTAAATAAAAAAGTAAAAAGCATCAGTCTTATTTGAAAACATGGTACAATAAAACAGGTAGAAGCCAATTTGACGTCAAACCTACAAAAGTCAAAGTTTTCGGGAGAGTAAAAATAAAAATGAGCGTGTGTAAGGAAAAATAAAAAAATACATTTCACTGGTTGACGTTTTTAAGTATATTTGAAGTTTATTCTTATTTATTTGTTTTCTTTAGTTAAAATTTGATAAAACGTGTATGTTGTTTTCTGTTTTTGTTTTATGAGTTGTAGTGTTGTTGGAGGGACTTTTCGGCATAAGGGTCATAGGAACAGCACTTGGCTTCAAACGTGCCTTTCCTGTACCTCCCGGTGTATTAGTGGAATCTACTTCTTTAAAATGTTTAAAGCTGAAATTAGTCGAGAACGCAGAACGTATACTTAAACGCAGTCTGTATACGCAGAATTTTGTCGATTACTGGAGCCCTCAGTGTTGCTTACTACACTGTTGCCACTCATCAATGCCTTTTCATAAACTTACCCTTTCAACTACAATTTTTCGTGCTATAATAGATTTTAGCTAAATATAAACTACTTAGTTTTCAACAAAAACCTTATTCAATAGTAAATTTCAAATATTTTAAACATATTTTGAGTAGGAACTTGTATCTTTTTTACCATCTGTAAAACTGACGAACTGGCAACCATCTAAAGAAGGAGAAATCAGCTGGCACGGAAAAATCTAAATTCCGCAGATTTCTGCGCTACGGGCTACAACTACAGAAAAATTCTGCGGTGTTGAGTTTTCATTTACATGGCGCTTTGGTAAGATAGATCGTGTCAGCTGACTCGGGTTTACGTACCGGTAGGTTTACGTTCTTGACTAATTTCAGCTTAACGCACAGCAAGGCATTTCACTGCAGCTCTGCCCACAGCTGCTTTCGCAACGTTCCTTACGCGAAGGACATTGAGGCACGTTAAAAATTAGTGGTATCTGCCTTATATTTAACACCACATAAAAAACAACGCTTCAGGTGTTGCATTTTTAACACATACACTAAGTATAAACCGCACAACACTACAAAAATTCAAATGCAAATTAAAATTTGTTATTAACGAACATTCAAAAAAAAAAAACAACGATATGACATTCAAAGCGTAACGAAATATAGGAAATAAAATAAAATCAAGTTGAAGTTTAAAGGTTTGGTTCTCATGAGAGCAACGTCATTTTGGCTTCTACCTGTATTTATGTGCCTTGATTTGAAAACAAAGTGGATGGAAATCTATATTTGGCGAAACCTGATTGGAAATTAGTATCTGACCATAGTTGTGCATATTGGCCAATATTATTTACTTTGCTTTGGAAATAAAATACTGGCGCTTTGTACTTTTACATTTAGGATTACAAAATTGTGTACGGCTTAACTCACACCGACCATGGAATCCTCTTTTAAAATTAAGACGCTGATGCTTTATATTTTTACATTTAAACAAATACGGGTGGGCTTTAGATTGCTAACCCCGGAGTTCAGCATTAAGGAAAATATGGGAGGTAGATGGGGGTCTAATAGTTCCCTGTATGAAGTTTCAAAGCGCGCACCTTTATGGTTATTAAGTAATTTGTTATTAAAGTTTGTAATTTTCACCAACTTGTATTGGACTATTTCACAATATATAATGCACTTTCCACTAAATTTACACGTTATTTACACTCAATATATGCGCAGTTAGAGTGTGCACGTTCAAACAAATAAATACTTTTAGTATATTACAGCTTTTTTATAAAAAATTGGTTGTTTAATTTTATGAGAGTACATGCAGAATATGTGGAAATGGCAGCAGGACTGTGTTGCCATATCTAAAAACCCAAGAGTGGAAAGCAAGACCAAAAGAAAATACGATTAAAAGGAAAATACGATAAGGTTCTTTTGTTCAGATAAAAATAAATAGTAGGGGGATTGGGGTCATATTCCCCTCTTCCGGAAACACAGAAAGGAGAATTCTACGTAGTGAGGGTTATAATCCCTAAGTGCGGCCGAAGGCCGCCTACGCAGAAAGGTGTTCTATGCAAAAGGTGTTCGGTCCCTTTTCTTTGGCAACACAGAAAGGAGAATTCTACTGCCTGAGGGTTATAATCCCTAAGTGCGGCCGAAGGCCGCCTACGCAGAAAGGTGTTCTATGCAAAAGGTGTTAGGCCCCTTTTCTTTGGCAACACAGAAAGGAGAATTCTACTACCTGAGGGTTATAATCCCTAAGTGCGGCCGAAGGCCGCCTACGCAGAAAGGTGTTCTATGCAAAAGGTGTTCGGCCCCTTTTCTTTGGCAACACAGAAAGGAGAATTCTACTGCCTGAGGGTTATAATCCCTAAGTGCGGCCGAAGGCCGCCTACGCAGAAA